GGCCTCGCGCTTGCCGGGCGGGCGCTGCGCCGCCGAGCGCATCCCCGGCCCGGAGGTTAAGAGTAAAGGATGCTCCGGAGCTTGTGTGGCTTATGGTTGCAGAGGAGTCGTCGTTGGCGGGCGGGGCGGTGTGTGCCTCCTGTTAGAGCGTGCTGGGCGTTTGAGCCTTGATTTTTGGAAATTTCGCAAATACAGTAAAATCTGATTCTGGCTTTAAACGGAACAGAAAAGCAATTGATAAGTTTGTCCAGTTCGGGAAGAGCACAAATTAGTTTTGAGGATTTTCTGCTAGTAGAGGTCACTGGTGTCTGAACAAATCCCTTTTTTTTTCCATTAGGGGTTTAAAGCCAACTTGTCTCTATTGAGGAGACCAGGAGAGAAAACTTACACGCAGCGTTGCCGGTTGTTTGTTGGGAATCTACCTGCAGATATCACGGAGGATGAATTCAAAAGACTGTTTGCTAAATATGGAGAGCCAGGAGAGGTTTTTATCAATAAAGGCAAAGGATTCGGATTTATTAAGCTTGTAAGTTGTAATTGTCAGGTTTTTAAGTAGAATTGTTTGTTCTTACAAAAAACTTTCTGGATTGTGTAATTTTGGTATGGGGTGGCGTAGGTAGGATATTTATCTATCCTTAGTTGTGTGGGAAAGGCTGCCCCGAATGTGACGCTTGAACTGACCTGGAAGGAGTAGGAATAAAGTCTGTGACAACTTGGGAATGGTCCTTAGCCAGTTCTGAAGCCATTAACGTGAATATCATGTTTACAGGAATCTAGAGCCTTGGCTGAAATTGCAAAAGCTGAACTTGATGACACACCCATGAGGGGTAGACAGCTTCGCGTCCGTTTTGCCACACACGCTGCTGCCCTGTCTGTTCGTAACCTTTCACCTTACGTTTCCAATGAACTATTGGAAGAAGCCTTTAGCCAGTTTGGTCCTATTGAAAGGGCCGTTGTAATTGTGGATGATCGCGGAAGATCTACAGGGAAAGGCATAGTTGAATTTGCTTCTAAGCCAGCAGCAAGAAAAGCATTCGAAAGATGCAGTGAAGGTGTTTTCCTACTGACAACGTAAGTTGTTTGGTTTATTCTGATGGTGTTTTTGGTAACTTTTTATGAGTGTGTTGCAATAAAAAGTGGAACAAAGTTAAGATGGAAACGTTTTTGTTCTCAGAACGCCTCGGCCAGTCATTGTGGAACCACTTGAACAGTTGGATGATGAAGATGGTCTTCCTGAAAAACTTGCCCAGAAGAATCCAATGTATCAGAAGTAAGATTGATTCAGCTTCTTGGCAGTACTTAACTCCTACTAGTCCAATTATACACGATTTAGATTTAATTATACGGGATTTAAATTTAAATACAGGATGTGGCCCCAACTTGCATTTTTTTGTTAATCCTTACAAGATAACATAACAGGAAAAATAACAAGGCATTGTTCTTAGATTTATTTAAGACAGTAACCAACTGGTTGAAATGAAACCCGCCCAAGCAAGGCTCAGGTAGACTTTTAGGTGTTTCAATGTACAAGACTCAGCTATGCTGATGCACTTCTGTGTAATCCAAGCCCTTGGGAAGCTGAGGCTACACAGTGAGTTCAGGGTTGGTCTGAACTACATAGCAAGACTTATGTTTCAAAAAAAAAAAAAGTGTAAAAGAGCTTGCTGAGTTACATTTTGAATCTGTTGAACTGCTTTTGTGAGTTAAGTGCATTTTCTAGCCCCCCCACGCCTCCCCACTGAGAATCGAACTCAACCTTGTGCTTGCCAGGCAGGCGCTGTGGCACTGAGCTAAATCCCTAGCCCCTAGGCTTTTTAGCTATAGGAAACCAGGTTTTGTGGCACTTGTCTGTAATGGCAGGACTGGCGCGGGTGGGGGGGGGCAGTAGTGAAGGATCACCATGAGTTTGAAGCCACCCTGGGCTATACAGTGAGTTCTAGGCCAGCCTGAACTACATAGTGAGACTGGCTAAAAAAAAAAAAAAAAAAAAAGAATGTAGGTCTTTATACTTTATAAAATTCTATTATTTTTTTTTGAGACAATGAGCTTCCAGCCTCAGTCTCCTGAGTGCTGGGATTACAGGCATGCGCCACCACGCCTAGCTTTATACTTTTTTTAATATGTGGTGATTTATTAGTCCTTACTAAGTGGATGCATTTTGGATAAATAAGAACTCCTGTGTTTGCAACGTGTGTTAGAAGGAGTAGGAAGAACAGGAGAGAAAAAATAAGAGTGTGGGAGAAATACACAGAAGAGATGATATGACCTCTTTCGAATAAGTAGTTTTGAATGAGCAGTATCAACCAGCAAAGTACAAAGTTGTCGATATGGTGTTTTGTTTTAAATTTGAAATAATCTGGTACCACCTTGAAGATGCCTTAGTTTTTGTTTATTATTTTGGGAGTATTGGTTTTGTGCACCAAGGTGGTTTTTATTGTTATATTTTCAAATGATAGGATACGGAGCAGGAAGAGACCCTGTTTGGGCTTGTTTTGCAGTGCTGGAGATCAAACCCAGGGCCTTGTGCCTGGGAGATAACCTGTCCTGCTGTTAACTGCTACTGCTCTACCATTGAATCATATTCCTAGCTCAACCAGATTTTTTCAAATGAATTAGATAGTATTGCTTACAAGCATCTACAGACTTGATCATGTTTAAATTTTGTATGTTGTCAGGGAGAGGGAAACACCACCTCGTTTTGCTCAGCATGGCACATTTGAGTATGAATATTCTCAACGGTGGAAATCTTTGGATGAAATGGAAAAACAACAAAGGGAGCAAGTAGAAAAAAACATGAAGGATGCAAAAGACAAGTTGGAAAGTGAAATGGAAGATGCATATCATGAGCATCAGGCAAATCTTTTGCGCCAAGGTAAGAGATCCCCTGAATTTTACTGGTAGGATCAGTTACTTTTTTCTTTTGGTACCAGGAATCAAACTCAGGAACTTGGGCCTGCCTGGCAGGTGCTGTGCTGTTAAGCTATATATATCCTTGGCTTGAATCAGTTACTTTTGAAGCTCATCAGAACCTTACTAATGTGAATATAAAACATTTTGTAACACTCAGATTTGATGAGGCGCCAGGAAGAATTAAGACGTATGGAAGAACTTCACAATCAAGAAATGCAGAAACGCAAAGAAATGCAATTGAGGTAAACTTTCACTTGTCCACTAACATTTGCACATTTAGACAGTAAAATTTTAGTAACATCCAGGTAAATCAGGTGAGGCTAGAGAGGTTAAATAATTGGTCATTGCTGGTTTAACACATACTCTAAAATTGATCTGGTAACAGTTAATAAAGCTAGTTTTCTTTTCCCGAACGTCACTTGTGCTGTTCTTCTAAACTCAGGCTAATCTAGGCCTTTGTGTTTTTTGCTGTAACCTGGACTTTCTAACATTCTCAGGCAAACTGCTAGATTTTTTCAAATTGAACTTAAATATAGGTGACCATTGGTTTACATGCCTGATGGATATTTGCAGGCAAGAGGAGGAGCGGCGTAGAAGAGAGGAAGAGATGATGATTCGCCAACGTGAGATGGAAGAACAGATGAGACGCCAAAGAGAGGAAAGTTACAGTCGAATGGGCTACATGGATCCAGTAAGTCAAGTATTACTGCAGTCTAGTTGGGAGTTCTACAGATGTTTGTAGGTATCTAGAATAAAAGTTTACTCAACTAGATTAAAATAGACTTACAGTATAGTGGTGTCTATGTTTAACTGCCATGAGTTGTAGTTTGTTTCTGCTCCTTGTATGGGCCAAAGTGTTTCATTGGAGTGGAAAGTATTTCATAAGTCATTTTTTCCCCTAGTAGTGGAAATTGAGCCCAAGGCCTTTGCACTGAGCTACATCTCCAGCCTTTTATTTTGAAACAGGATCTCTATAAATTGCCCAGGCTGAGCTCAAACTTGGGATCCTGCTGCACTCAGCCTCCAAGGTGTTTGATTAAAGATGTACACCACCATACCCAGCATATAGATAGGTCTTTCGATAATTGAGTCTGACTGGTTTTCAGAATACTGATTTTATTTCATGTGCTTATTTTGAGACAGGATCTGTCTAGCTCTGCAGTCTAGTCTAGGCTTGAACTTACGTGTAGCACAGGTTGACCACAATCTGTCAGGATCATCCTTCTTCATTCTTCCCAGTGCCGAGCTTATTGCAGGCCTACATTGCCACACTAGGCACAAATTTTACTGTATTGATTTTAAAATACACTTCGGTCAGTAGAAAAAAAGGCTATTGAACCTCACAGTTCTTATAGTTCAAGAAGGCTTGGTGTTACCAGTTGTGGTGGACACACACCTGTAATCCCATTGTAGTGACCCTCTGCTTGTCTTTTTTTTTGTACAGGGACTCAAACTCAGGACCTTGCGAGAACCTGTCTTTAGTTTAGTTTAGTTTATTTGTTGGTGCTGGGAATAGAGCTCAGGACCTTGCGCTTGCTAGGCAGGTGCTGTACTGCTGAGCTATATCAGTCCTGAGACCTTGTCTTTAAAAAGAAAAGAAAACAAGGGAATGCTTGGTGTGGTTGTATGGTAAGTAATGAATGAAATTTTTTTTTTTTTTTTTTTTTTTCAGAGAGAAAGAGACATGAGAATGGGTGGTGGAGGAGCAATGAACATGGGAGGTAAGTGTAACTATAAATTGACAATATCATTAGAGGGCAGTATTCCACCGGAGTTGTAACCATCATCCTTGTTTTCTAGATCCATATGGTTCAGGAGGCCAGAAATTTCCACCTCTAGGTGGTGGTGGTGGCATAGGTTATGAAGCTAATCCAGGAGTTCCACCAGCAACTATGAGTGGTTCCATGATGGGAAGCGACATGGTAATGTATCCTATGGGACGTAATACGAAGGAAGCTCTCATTTTCATGACTTTACATGTGTGTTTGTTTTTTTTTTTTCCTTCCCCATTTGTTTTAAAGTAGGTGATTGGACCTCTTAGTTCCCCCATACATGTAAATACGTGATACTGAGGAAAACTTTGGCAACGTAGAAGAAATCTGTGGCAACCTAAACAGTTAAGATTGCCAACAGGGAATCAATGCTGTTAGTAACATGTGGAATTACCTTTGGCAATAAGTAGATTTAGGTGTTTTTCATTGTGTTGCTTGTGCACTTTTGAATTGCAGTGCATGGCAAATCCAAATTCTGGGTATTAGATAATGCATATGATTATTCTATACCCAAGTGAGTAATCAAATGGCAAAGTCATTCATTAAGCTGGTATTTGCCATAAATAGGAACCAGACTTGTAGTTTGTAGCTTTAGGCATGTTTTAGTGTTCCAGGACTCGGACCTATATTTGGTGTGGCTTCTGTCCCATGAAAAGGGAATTGTTTAGTGTTTTGACTCGTCGTTTTCCACCTCTTGGGCCTGTCTGTAGGTACACCTGAAATAAACTGGCATCTTTATTGTCCTAGAGAAACAAAAGTCAATAATTTTAAGCATACTAATAGTGTGCATTTGATTTGAACCTTCTTGAGGGTGTAAATGTTTTAGTTGTACAGACAGCCGGGTAGATGCTTTAGGACAATCAGAGTGAATTGGTATGAGTGGTTGTATCAGGGCTTTACAAATCCTTAGGATTGAACTTTGGTGGGTTTAGAAAGTGTGTTTTCATAGTTGAATTGAATCGGATTAATTCACCTATAGGCTTTGACAGAGGAGCTTCGTGTATAGCTCAAAAGATTTATTTTGTAACTAGAAACTTCAAGAACTAGTGACCTAACCTACTTAAAATCAGCTTATGATTTTTTGAGAATTAAAGTTAGACATCCCTTCTCAGCCTTTTGGCTAAGATAAGTGAGAATTAGAGTGGATGGGTTAAATGCACTATGAACTTTCATGGAATTGAATTTTTAAAGTACTCTGGTAATATTTTGGCTTATGTGCTTCGTACAGATTGTTGAGTGTCAAATTCGTAACCAAACACAAGTTTGACATAATGTTGCCATAGGTAAAGATCTGTATTTTCTAGGTAACTACTGATTCTCCATTAAAACTCCAGAAACCCTCAAATTTTCCTGTTTAGTTTGAGGTAGAAAGTACAATGCATAAAGCCATGTATAACATCATCAAAAATATTGAGGTTAAGTCTTCTCAAGTAAGTCTTCTCAAGTAAACACAGTGTTTTGTGTTTTTTAAAAAGACAGGGCTGAGGAATAACATATGGAAACAGTTAAACACTGGTGCCATTGTCGTGTTTTTCCCTCTCTGGAATAGTACTTTCCGTAATTGGGCTATTCTAAATGGAATTTTGAAGGAGTGTAGGCTGTTATATATACCTGTTGGGTTCTGTTTGGGTACGTAGTACTTTCCATTTGAATCAAAGTACCTGAAACTACATGGAATAAGGAAGGCACAGGCTGCTTTATCGCAGTCACTTTTGTTGGGTATTAGTGCTGTTTCATGAGATATTTAAAAATATGGAATCATAGCATAGTATCACTTACAACTTTTCAAAGACTTAAGGGAAAAGCTGGGCTGTTACACACAGGTGGGCTGTTCGTTCAGTCACTTTGCAACAATATAGAATAGTACTGTAAACATAATTGTCTCTGGTTTTTATAGTGATGGCTCTGAAGGTGGTACACCTGTAAGAATATGGCAACACAAGTTTTTGATCAAGCTATTGTGCCGGTTAAGTGACTAAATCTGTTAGTTTTTTATGCTTTTTCTTTTTGTAGTCTGGTAGCATTTTATTAAAACTTTCAACCTTTTTAAGATTTCTGCAACTTAGCAGATGTGTCTTAAGATCTTGAAAAGCACAAGGTTTCTTATGCAGCACATGCCACTAACTGGTGAGTAGGTCTTTGTCATTTCATTTAGTGAATTGACTTTTGGGCTAGGCTTGTTAGGCTTACTTGGAGATTAAATTTTCTGTTCAGACCTTGAAAGTGAGAGTTTGCAAGCTTTTTCAGTGGATTAATCTGATGTGAAATTTTTAGAACTCATTTTGGAATGGATTTTCACATCTGCACTAATTCTTAAATTTTTTAGCACTACAGGGAAGGATCTGTTCTTTGAAACAGGTGTATGAGAATGGCTCAAGTGGGAACATACCACAAGGCATGTATTATCGTAAACTAATTTTCAAATTACCCTTTTTTCCTTTCTATGTTCCCGGTACCTGTGGATCGACTCATTGGTGATTGTATCGACGAACGTTGACTACGGAACCTTCTAAAATATTTACTTAACACACATGGACATCAACTACATATAATGAACTGTTGTTACTGTTCCAATAGCGTACTGAGCGCTTTGGGCAGGGAGGTGCGGGGCCTGTGGGTGGCCAGGGTCCTAGAGGAATGGGGCCTGGAACTCCAGCAGGATATGGTAGAGGGAGAGAAGAATATGAAGGCCCAAACAAAAAACCCCGATTTTAGATGTGATATCTAGGCTTTCATTCCAGTTTGTTTTTGTCTTTTGTTTAGATACCACTTTTAAATTCTTGCATTTTAGTAAGAAAGCTATCTTTTTATGGATGTTAGAAGTTTACTGACCTAATTACTTGTAAATGGTCTGTTTGGGCAGGTAAAATTATGTAATGCAGTGTTCGAAACAGGAGAAAAGTTTTCCTTTTTATTTCTTTTTTTTAACTGTATAATGTTCTCAAGTTAATGGCAGTGTACCTTGTGCCACTGAATTCCCAAAGTGTACCATTTTTTTTTTTTACTGTGCTTCAAATAAATAGAAGAAATAGTTATAATACTGATCTTCAACTTTGCCATTCATGCTTCAATGCACATTAGGCTAGATATTCCACTTGGATAGCATGAGCGTGTTTAGGTCTTTCAATGGCATATGCCGTTTCTGGGAAATGTATCTGGAGGCTAAGTATTGCTTTCTATAGATAACTGACTGTCCCTTTGTTTTAAAAAAAGAAATACATATTGAAGTAGTTCATCATTTGTTTGGCATTATAGGAAGCAAGCCGGTGCTAAGTATTTTTTAAATGGTATGCAAAGCTGAACTGTAAATCTTGATTCAGGAATATGTATTAAGATTGTGGAATTGGGTGTAAGATTGGTAGGGGGAGAAAGTGGGTTCGGTTAAATGCATCCTTTATGGCACTATGATCTATCCTTTCCTTGAAAGTTTTTGAACAGTGGAAAGACCATTTTGTTGCATTTCCCCATTCTTGTTTTTAAGAACAAAAATCCCAAGCCCTATAAATGGCTTGTATCGAACTTTTACATTTGAATTAAAGATTGTTAAACATAAAGCCTTCACATGTATTACTTGAAAGTAATTTATAACAATGGAGTTTAGTCTGAAAAATTCAATTTGAAAGTAAGGTATAATTTTTAAAAGTAGGTTTAGCTCTATACTTGCATTCTATTAACTTTTATTTCTCTTTGTGCTACTTCTGTTGGGCAAAATTTGTAGGACTATAAAAATATATAGGTTCTTAGAGCTAGTGGTGAGTGTTAACACAGTTGCAGGATTACCATTCCTGTTTTTACCTTTTGGGGGAGTGGGGGATATAGCTTAAATCTGAAGAGTTGCTCATACTGCACAATGCAAACACCCCTTCCTCAAACCATAAAGCTTAGGATGTTTCTATGGTGTTGTCAGTTAATTGTCAACTTCATTGAATCTCCTTCCATTAGAGCAAGAGACTTGGATTCAATATTAGAGTGTTACTGTTCTCTGTGTACAATGGGAGCTTGATTCCCAGTGTAAATGTTAGAGGGACAACTTCCTAACAGAAGCTAAAGAAACTGAATGGTTTGGCTTTGTTCTTAAGTTATGTTTCCATTCAAGGCTGTACGTTATAGACTGGACCATGGAATGCCTTCATCCTTTTCACCTTTGTTCTTGGTGCTAATTGGCAAAAGAAAAATTATAAATGAAATCTTTGTTAACATGCCAAAGTTTAGTATTGTGCCTTAGTACAAAAGGAGACCTATTGAGTACCTTCTTTATAGGAAGGAAAATAGTACTTAAAGGGAAACTCTAGTGGTATATAAAAGCATGTCATCAAATTCTGGTGTATGATAGGTACATGGTATGCAAATTAAGGAAGAGAATCTTCTTAGAAAATGTGCTCATTTCTATTCACATTTGGAAATGGGTAGTTCTTCCATAATGATATCAATGAGGAAGTTTTGCCCTGAGTCATAATTGGTAATATGAGATTTTTCTGTATGGATACAAGGGTCTCAATTTGAAGGGAGTCTATTACAATTTGGTTGAACTGTTCAGTAGGAACTCTTAAGAATGATAAGAGAATTAGGGGTGTTCATGGGACACCCACCAAAGGTGAACTTGTGAATGTATGTGGGTGGGGGCTGGAGGGGAAATGGGAAAATCTGCCTATAAAATTAATGTTTCAGTTTATTTTTCAGATTACATGCCTTTCTTTATAAGGGATGCTGGCACAGACCCCTAAAATAAGCTTTTGGTAGTACTGTACCTTTGAAGAGTGGTGAAGGATGCTAATGGATAATCTGCTGAAAGTTGTGGCTTTGATAGCCTTCTGTGGGATGTAGAGAGCTAAACTTTGTTTAGCAAATAATGTTGCTTAGTTTCAACTGAGATTTGACTTTCATCACTAAAAGCAGCAGTATACCAAGGTTGTAAGCTACTCATAGACTTGCAGTAAGTCTAATGTATATACAGTTCTTTGCCTAATGGGAACTTAAATAATGACATTTTCTAAAAGTTGACAATGAAACTTGGGGTGGGAGAGGGAAGGTAATTTTCAAGTGTTTTAGTCATTTTTTTTTCATTTAGGAGAGCACTTACCCCTATTTCCTCCTCTTTACTTTTCTCTGTTTCAGAGGAACACTCATTTTTAAAACTTTCCTAATCTTTAAATCTACATTCTCTTTAAGACACTAGTCTTATTTGATAGGTATATTACAAGCTTAACCCATTGGCTCGAATTATTTAGTAAAACCGTAATTCTTTTTGCCTAGAACATTAAGCTCTTTTAAGAGGTGTGATAAGCCCCACCACTCTACAGATGTGTTTATACCACTAATATAAACATAATGATTTGGGAAATTGTAATGTTACGCCTGTGCAATTCTTACAAGTGGCATATTAATGGCAGATAAAACTTAGATACTTGGCTTGGGCAAGCCACCAAGTTGGGCAGAATGTTTTGCGGTGTTCTTGGACTGCAATTATGCACTATTAAAGTAGTGGCCTGCTACATAACTGCATTTAGCCAGCATTTCTGCAGTGCGTAACTGTGAGGAACGTAGTACCGCAAATGGCAATGGACATTAGGACCCGGATGTAGTATTCCTGCTTGCTCCAAGATTCTCATTGCCGACTGCATACAGGTAGGTAACAAGCAATATAATCTAACTTGGTGACTTGCTATGTACTTTTATCCGTGGGCATTCTGACATCACACTTCTGACGATGAAATTACAGTGCAGCACCTAACACTTGTATGGTAAAGTTAGCTTACATCAAAACTGCGTGGGTCTGGGGTTAGAGTTGTAATTTGTTAAGCAGAATTCAGTGCTCTTGTAGTTCTCAGATAAAAAGTGCAAACCTCTGATTCTTTGGCATATCTAACTCAGTTGTGTGGTTTTCTTTAGTTGCATTGTAACTGAAGATAACATGGAACACCAGTGGCGTGGGGGTGAGGGAACCAAACCATACGTAAAAGTTAGGGTGCTCCCAGCACCTTAGCACGGACTGTATAGCATGTGATAATTAAGTCTCTGTGGTAGCAAACTGATCTGCCTGCAGGTCAGCAATATTAATTTCAGTCTGCAATCTTGGTAACAATTCTGTAAATTGAGTGAATTAAGACTAAAACTGCAGGGTTTTTTTTTTTTTTGTAATGTGATTGGAGATTTTTTCAAACATGGGCTTTATGGGAATGGACACTTATGTTACTACTAATGGGCTTAGATGGGAGTCTGACGTGAATAGTTCAGCTTATGTGACTTGTTTCAAAATGTTTATACTCTAAACCTGGGGGAAAGTGGTATGAAACATTGACTTGCTTACAGTTGATTACATGTTGGAATCATTCCCAGTTCTAAGACTTCGTCGTATTCTGTAGCACAACTGCATGTTCAGAGCAGTTTTTTGAACTTGGTTCCCTTAGCCTTAGGGATGTGATGTTACAGTCCAAAATGTTTAGTGACAAGAAAATAAGTCTTCTAAAAGGCACTTTCTCTTGCTTTAGAACAAGCTTTGCATCTTCAGACCTCAATTCAACTTAACTTTGGTCTCTGAGCTGGTTTTTAGCTAGCATGCATGAGAAACAGCTTTCAGTTCTAATGCTTTCTGCTCTGTAATAAAAAAGTAGGTTTACCTTGCATAAATGCCAGTGAAAATTTCATGACTGAGAATTTTCTTTGCTTGTATCAAGAAAAATGGCTTGCTGTTTGGCAAGCTGGTTACAAGGTGGGGACAGATTTGTATTCAATGATCCATTCAAGCGAACAACTTTTTACTCTCCAAAGGGCTAATGGTGATGAATTTAGCTTCTCCATATTAATATAATGCAGATCAAACAGTGATCATTGTCAGTGACACGAATATCACTAAATTGCAAAGAACCCTGATGGGGACTTTGGAGGGTTATAATCCTTTAAATCGGCAGCTAATACTGGCTGCCGTGGTTTAGTGATTCAGAAATGAAAGCTCAGATTTATTTCTTAACAGCCAGTAGTAACAATTTTCAGAGAATGTATTTGGTGTAATGTATAAGGAACATTGTTGGGGTGGGAGTTAATTTTGCTTTGTCTGCTTTAAGATTAGGTTATTGCACTTCAGAATGAGAGAACCAATTTGAATCAATAGTTAAAATTTATATGTAGCTATAAATTGTGACTCTTAGTGCAGTGGCTTTTTAAAAAGTACTCTAACAGCTGGGAATTAAATGGGTTTCAGTAATAATGATATATACTGAGGTGCTTGCATTGTATTTCATAACCTTTTACAAACTAAAATTATTCTTTTCAATGGGAAGAGTGAGTTCAGAGGTGTGATGTCAGAATGTATTTCGTACTGTTAGGCCCTTGGAAACATAGCGGTGCTTTCTGAAAGATGAAAGAAATGCAATGGGTGCTCTTCATGCAAGGTTGCAAATCTACAAAGAATGCATAATAGTCTCACTTTCCCTAATAGAGATGCGTGTGACTAGTTTTGGACTTTTAACCTTAATGGGGGTTGCATGTCTCCTATTGTTAATCATTGTCAGCTGCAGTGACAAGATCCACAGTCCTGCATTTACTGCCTTTTCCTCAATGATTTTGGACAGGTTTTAGGGAGACACGGGGCGTTTGTTCTGGGCCTTTACTTGGTTTTGGCTTTAGCTGATCATGTTTCAGTGCTGTCAGCTAGTGCAGTTTTCAAATGGCTGCCTATTAGGGAAAGAATTGAGGATTTGACTGTTCCTAATCATCTGTCATTGCTGCTAGATAATGATTTGCAATTTTTAAGACTGTGGAAATCTCACAGTTGGTGATAGACCAAACAAAAGTTGGATTTGAACACCAGTGCTGAAACTATTTTTTGAGGGTGAAAAAGGGGTTGGACGTAGAATAGAATAAGAATAATCTGGAGAATGGGGAAAAGAATGCAAAACGATATAGTATCCCTTATGATGGTACATGTGCAACAGGGAATTCTATTTCATGTAGCTGTGGCAGTAATGATACAGGGAGGAAGAAATACCGGGAACTTGAATTAAGGTTGATCTGAATTTTTTTTTGTGCACTGTGGCCCTGCTGTAGGCATACAGTGAAGGTGAATGTCTCTTCCCTTGGAAAGACTTGGGTTCCTTGCTGCCCAGTAAGGCATAGCTTTCTGGCCCTAACTTAAATCTCAGTGAGGACTTGAAAGGGGAAGTATGAGGCAGTACATCAGGATTGCAGGGCACTAGCTGCAGTGTGTGTACTGTGGGAAAAGGGTAAAAGGACTGTGGGAGGACTCCTGCTGAAGGTGGTTAGCCCACCGAACATGGAAGACATACCTGAATGGGGGAGCAGGGTATGGACTTTCATATGAGGAGAGCTGATAAAAACTTTGGGTGAGGTAAACGTTGTCACATACCTTCACATAAGGGATAGTATATTTTGGGTTGCAGTCAAAACTTCATTGTGCTCAGACTGGTGAAAGTAGGACTTAGGCGTTTGCATTTTAAGGAAGATACAATTTTGATTCTAATTCTAGTGTCTACTTAGAATAATTTTAGATTCCCCCCCACCCATGAAGTTTCATTCTATTTTTTTATGCTATAACTTATCCCAATCTTTTGTCTCTGGAATTTTACTCTTTAAAGTTAACTAGCATTTTCAAACCTTTATCGTCAATCTTTGTCTCATATTAACTTTTTTGTATTATTCTTTAGGTAAGAATGATTGATGTTGGCTGATGTTTGGCGTGCTCATTCACTTGAAGTAAGTGTCCTTAGAAATTTTAACATCTAGTAGATTTGGGGCTTGGTGTCTTTCATTGAGAGACAAACAATTTGATTCATTCAGCTCTATGGGGTGAAAGTTGCTCAATCTTCAGACATTTATTATTTTCTTGAAAACTGTGTGAGGGTAGAGGTGTAGCTCAGTAGGGGTGGAGTGCTTCCTAGCATGCAAGTGCCCCAAGGCTTGATTCTAGCACTGAAGGAAAAATAATTGTGAGGGAAAGTAAAACATGTATTTATAAAAATAACAGTAGGAGAATTCACAAAAGATGCATGATAACACTCAGAAACCGTGAACTGATTGAGAAATGTTATTTTTTTTGTACTTTAAATTTAGTTTTGGGCCTATTAAAAGTCTTCATAGGATTCTTTATGCAACAAGTGGTGGAAGAGTTAAGTGTAGTTTAACATTAGGAGGAAGGGAAATTCCTTTATATGTAGGGGAAATGGAGGAAAATATACATAGTTTTGATGTGGCACAAGTCTTCTGCAGCAAAAAAAAAAAAAGTCAGAATAAAATGCACATAACTTAATGCTGATTGATTTGTTTGTTTTTGAGACAGGGTCTTGCTCTGTAGTTCAGGATGGCCTGGAACTTGAGGCAGTGCTTTTCCTGCCTTAGTCTCCCAGGTGCTAGGATTATAGGAATCCGCCTCCAGGCTTGGTGGAAAGTTATTTTTCATTAAGTTTTGTCCTTGAGACAGGGTCTCGCTTGTGTAGTTCATTCAGGCTGTTTTAAACTCACTATGTAGTCAGGCTGGCCTCAGACTCCCGGCAGTCTTCCTGCTTCAGCCTCCTGAGTGCTGAGATCAGGCATGTGTAATTACACCTGGCTGGAATGTTAGTTTTAATAAAATATTTTTAATTATAGGTGGATATGATAGTTTGTTCTCAAGACATCAACCCAGCATGAGCAAAGAAGGAAAGCCACAAGTTAAACTGCAAAATGTTGGGGTAAGTTGAATTACTATTGCTGCCTTAGGGGGTTGCTTTGGGGGGCTACGGAAGAATACTGCTGTGAGTCAGTATCACAATTCTTTGTTAGGAAGTTCAGTTGGTGTTAGTGCTGGCAGTGTTATGTTTAAGAACTTGGTGTGACTCGCTTTGATTTTTAGGTCATTGGGTTTAATTTTATCCTTTATTTGGCAGGAGCTGGGTGAGCTGTGTCTAGGAAACCAGAAAAGGAAGAGTACAAAGAGCAGTAGAGAACTTATTTGCCATTAATAAAGACATTTAAAAGTGTGGCTGTCTTTTGTTTTTATTTTTGTTTTTATTTTTTTTGGTCTTTCTCAGACAGGGTCTCTCTGTGTGATTTTGGCTGGCCTTGAGCTCATTTTGTAGCCCAGGCTGGTCTCAAACTCACAACGATCCTCCTGCCTCAGCCTCCCTTCCTGTCTCAGCCTCCTGAGAGCTGGGATTACAGGCATGAGCCACCACACCCGGCTGTTTTTGGTTCTTAAATAGGCCTCTTTTCTGTTAATCCTGGTAAGTCTTCAACTTAGTTCTAGGTAACAAAAATTGTTTGGTTTATCTCCCTCTCCCCCCTTAAGTGGTGCTGGGGATTGACACAGGGCCTTGCACTTGTTAAACTGGTACTCTACTCTCAACAGCATCCTGTTAACCTGGTTTTGCCACTAGAATTTTAAAATTGTCTTTATCATTCCTAAAAGTTACTGTGTCATTAATATAGTGATTTTTAAAACACATGTCCCTTGATTGGATTACAAACATGCTAGAATTGTACTGGATATGGTGATGCACACCTATAATCCCCAGCCTCAGGCTGAAGCAGGAAGATCTTGATTTTTGAAAAGGGAGTCTCAAAAAATGGAGTTATCAAACATGGTTGTTGGGTAGTCATGGCAACTTCATAAATGAATGCTTGGGATTACATCTTGCTGGATGCTCTTGTTACCTATAGTTTGAGGTGCTGATAAGTCTCTCTAAAATGAATTAGAATTTGGTATGCAATGTAATCTATTTTCTTAAAATACCAAAATATAAGGGAAAGACCAGATTTTGTTGTTTTTTTAAAAACTGTTGCAGACTTAACCTGGTTAAGAAAGTAGGAAGTCAGTTGACCTGGATCAAACTTGGGCCTTGCACATACTAAGCAAGTCATCTGCTACTGAGCTACATCCTCCTGTCTCCCTCCCTCACCCCATGATGCCCTTCTGAGGCATCTTTGATAGCTGAGACTGGTCTAGAACTCACCATGCTTTAGTCTCCTAAGAGCCACCTTGTCCAACTTGTCTTTACTCTTAATAGCTCATGAAAATGAATACAGTTTGGAGCCTAGCATGATGGTGCATACCTGTAATCCCAGCATTCAGGAGGCTGAGGTCAGAGGGTTGATATGAAGTCAGCCTGGGCGAAATGATGAGATCCTTGTTGCAAAAAAGACAGTTGAAGCATTTAAGGCTGGGGTCTGAGGCTGATGTGTTATGTGTGGGCTTTTCATTTTGAGCCTTAGCACTAATGTTGGAGAATTTCAGTGCTGGTTACCTTGCAGGGATTAAGTAAATTTGAAATTTAGGATAGATCGAGATTTATTTAAAAACCACTGCTGAATGTGGTGGCACATGCCTGTGATACCAGCACTCAAGAAGCTGAGGCAGGAGAATCGTGAGTTCAAGGCCAGCCTGAACTGCATAGGGAGACCCTGTCTTTAAAAGACAAAAAAAAAAAAAACCAAGAAAACCCAACCCACATAGGAATAGGTAAAAGCTAAAACATACTTCTGGCCTCAAATTTGTTTTGAAAAGCTCTTCTCATTAATGAGGAATGAGATGAGGATGGTTTCATACTCCGTAGTCACTGCCTATTTAGACAACGTGTCAAATGGCCGGAGGTCATTCCAAATCAAGAGTGGCAGGCAGAGGGACTGGGGATGTAGCTAAGCTGCACAGTGCCTCCCTGCCAAGTGCAAGGTGGTGAGTTCAGTTCCTGGCACCGGAAAGAAAACAACAAAAAAAACGGGCAGGCAGATCACAAATTCAAACCCATTCTGAGTGACTTGACCCTCCAGGAAATCTTAAGTGAATATTTTGGGTTTTTTGTTGTTTTTTGTCCTGGGAATTGAACTTGGGACTTTGGGTTTGCCAGGTAGGTGTTTGTGCTAGTGAGCTATATCCCCAGCTCCTCAGTGAATATTGTTTTTTATTTTTTGTTTTTCTCCGGTACTGGGAACCGAACTCACGACCTTGTGCTTGCCAGGCAGGTGCTTTGCCGCTGAGCTAAATCCCCAGCCCCCTCAGTGAATATTGTGATTGAGTTACTCCTTTCAGATTCCCGGGTTTCTCAACATAAAAACAATTATTAGAGTGCTTGCGGGGGACTGGGGATGTAGCTCAGTGGCATAAGCGCCTGCCTGGCAAATGGAAGGTTCCTGAGTTCGATCCCTGGTACTGCCAAAAAAAAAAAAAAAAAGTTTAGGAGCACATAGGGTTATCCTATTGGAGGTATGTGTGCATTATATGGCAAGTTGTCAGCTTTCATAGGGTCGTTCATACAGATGACGTACATGCTACATGCCTAAGGACACAAAAGGAGCTTTTAAAACCTTGAGGGTCTGGCTCCAGTGCAGAGGTCCTGCCTCAGGCTTGTGAGTACTGGAATTACAGGTGTGTGCCATCATGCTTAGCTAAGGATGAAAGTTTGCTGTGAACAGGAATACTAAATATACCATGTACTTAGAAGTTAAATAAGTTCTATATTTGATAGCTTTTTTTTTTTTTAATAACATGATGTCCATAAAGGAAAATAAGTAATAAAGACTCGTTAAGAATAGAGGCCCCAGGAGAGGCCATATAAATTACTTAACCTCAAGTTCTTAAGCTTAAGTATAAGAATCCCTGCCTAGCAGTTTTTGTTTTGTTTTAATGTAGGAAAAATGCAAAAACGCAAAGGTCCCAGAATGATAAAAGTCCACATTTTAAAAATGAAGCATATAATATTTTGCATCTAAAACATGTTTAGTTTCAAACAGCACTGTTGCAGGAGGAGACAGCATGTTCAAATAACATTGTGAAGGTAAAGTTGATAAAATACCTGTAGTTTGAGGGACATGTAATTTCCCATACTAATGTACGCATTAGTATCTCAGGTGGTTTCTTGAAATAGTAATAGTTTAAGCTGGTTGTAAGATTGACATAATAGTTAAGTGAAAGTAGGACTCACTTCTTGATTTTAAAATTTATTACAAAAAGATGGTAAAACTGGTACCAATACAAAGGTTGACACAGATAAGTACAACAGATCCAGAAGACCGAAAATCGACCCATGTTTGTGGTCAGCTGATTCTCGGCAGGCTAGAAAAAGCCAGTGGAGGATGAAGCTTTTGACAAAGTGGTTATGTTGTCGGATCCTATGATATACACAAAAATTCGAAAAAAAAAGTAGGACTTTGAGTCTGGCAGAGGATTCTTACATGTGTCATCAAAAGTGTGAAAAAAAAAATAAATGAAGCTTACCAAAATTAGGGGCGCTTCAAAGAATAACATCAAAAAAGCAAGTCAGGTGTAGTGGCATATACCTGAAATTCTAGCACTGATGAAGGCTGAAGCAGGAGGACTCCCAAGTTTGAGGCCAGCCTGGGCAATGTCCCCATAAAATCACTATACACACACCCACCCAAACAGCCCAGTAACTCAAAACTAGCCAAAGTAATTGGGTATTTTCCCAAGATACACAAATAGTAACAAGCACATGAAAAGAAATTCAGCATTGTTGGTCACTAGAGAAATACAAAAAAAAGATATCACCTCACAATAGAACATCTAGAATCAAAAATGGTAGGAAGGAAATTAGAAACCTCATGCACTGTTGGAAGGGTGGGTGTAAAATGTTGCAGAGCTCTTAGCACTGGCCATAGTGCAAATGTGAACATAGGGTCATCACATGACCCAGCAATTCCAATACCCAAGAGAAAAACATGCATGTAAAAAATGTGAGTACACAGTGGTGTGGTGTAGCTCGGCGCTGCTAAATAAGTATATGGATGTTTACAACAGCATTACTCATGATAGCCAAAAGGTTGAAACAACCTAAATGTCCATCAGCTGATGGATTCCTGTGATATATCCATATAATAGGATATTATTCAGTGCCTGTGGTCCCAGCATCTTGGGAGGCTGAGGTGGGAGGATCACTTGAGTGTCACAGTATCTGACCTCAGGCAGTGTGGAAAATGAAAAGATTACCCAGATTTGGTTTAGGCCAGACAGGCTATTTCTCCAAGAGTGGCCAGCCAGCAGGGAGACAGAAGAAAAACCCACCAACCTTAGAACTCTCTCACATTTGTTTTAGAAACAAACTGGGAGAAAAAGAAGTTGGGGCGAGGAGCTATGTCAAGGTGAAGCAGCTTTTCTTAGGGAATGGGGAAGCACAAGCGGCAGACCCAACATGCTCCACATCATCTAAACTTCTTTAACCGAACATTTGAATTTTTTTTTTGTCTTTTTGAGACAGGATCTTATGCAGTTCAAGCTGTCCTTGAGCTCACTTTGTCGCCTAGGCTGACCTCGAACTCACAAGAGTCCTCCTGCCTCAGCCTCCCTAGTGCTGGGATTACAGGCGTGCGCCACCATGCCTGGTACAACCATTTGGTTCTCACACAACCTGGGTGGTTTTTGCCTCATAGTTTTTTCTCACAGAGCCTATGTGCCTTTTGCCTTGCAGTTTGAATATTTATGCGCGCCAGGCGTGGTGACACACCCCTGTAATCCCAATTTTCGGGAGGCAGAGGCAGGAGGATCGTTGCAAGTTCGAGACCAACCTGGGCTACAAAGTGACCTCAAGGCCAGCTGAACTGTATAGTGAGACCCTGTCTCAAAAAGAAAAAAAAAAAATTATGTGCTTTTGCCTCATATTTTAACTCCACACAGAACCTCTCTGCTCTTGTCTCACAGCTTAATCACGGTTTAATCATTCACTCCTGGCCGGGTCTCCCACACCTGAGCCTACTGTGCGTAGGCTGGGTGACAACACAGTGAGACCCTGTCTCAAAGAAGCGTGTATTTATTTATACATGACATATATCAGCCATAAACAGGAATGGACTGTTGATTCATGCCATAATATGGACGAACTTTTAAGAACATGCTATTGTAGTCAGGGTGGGAAACAATTTATAGGGTTATTTTATAGTAGTCACCCAGAGACTCAAGTACATAAGAATGCACGAAATTCGTCCACACATTAGGGACTCAAAGAACCCAACTGAGGGCCTAGATCCCATGGCA